AATGAGGAAAACCATTTGGGCAACCAAGCAAGGAGACAGGCCTTTAACCTGGGCTCTGAGTTCAACACGTCTCAAAAAAGCAGGCAGATTTAGGCACTAAGGGGCTAGGAAACACCTAACAAATGGCAACCCTCATCCCAGTGTTCCAGTGGGTTTTCATCTAAAATTTGAATGCAGAGAAACACGTAAAAATAAAGAAGTGGATGATCATATTTGCCAAACCAAAGGGAATTTGCCCACAAAACAAAGGCTCAATGCCGCATTTTGCCGTTTCCACACACAACCCGGATAACACAACCCTTAAGGCACACAGTGATCCACACTTCCCAGTGGAATGAAGAGCTCCTGCCTTTCCTTTTCCAGAAATCACAAAGCTGAATATCCTGATCCCTCTGGATGTGGGCAGGAAGAGCCTGAGTGTGGACACTAAGTTGCTGGAGCGCCTTTCCTACCCTGTTGTGACTTCTAGGCATCACCCACACCTTCCTTGGAGAAACTGTCCTTGGACAGGAGATCTGAGCAAGGCCTGGCTGGGATGGCAGATCATCTGCTGGGAGCTAAACAGCCAAAGCTGGCAAGCTGGAGCCCAAAATCCTGCTGGCTTCCTATAAACCATGCTCCACAAGTTCTGGATGCTTCAACCCCCCACAACCTCCTCCACCTGTTCCCAGGATCCAACAGCCAGGCACAAGGAAACACTCCTCTTGATCCTTCTCCTACTAAGTCGCTTATTCCTTATTAATAAAAGCCAACTAAATGAAAATTATGGGCTTGTTAGAGGGAACCACCTCCAGCCACTGCTCAGGGCCCCCAGTGTCAATTCATAGAAGAGATGGGATGCAGCAGAGTTGGACTCTAACACAGCCCACTGTCGCCTCCCTCTGCCACATCCTCACCTACTGCAGTTTTCCTGCAGTTAATGACAAGCCAACTCCATTTCTTCAAAAGGCCCACTTTCCAGGGAACACATCACCCTCCTCACCTTCACAAATGAGGGAAATTACTGGGGAAAAAAAGCACCAGCAGCTTCCAGGTATTCTCAATAACCTCAGCCAGGTTCCTATGGAGGGCCTCCACCTGTCTGGGTACCCTGTGCCACCATCAGTCCCTCTCTCTACCCACTCCCAGGGCAGAGCAGGTCAATGTGGCAGGTCAGGGTATCACACCAGGTCAGCCAAAGCCACCTCCAGCATGAGTTTACGCAAGCATGTCTTCCTCAGACTCATCTCCAGAGCCATCCCTGTTGCCTCAGGGAATGCTGCCCTTCTTGGCACTGCACCTACTGCACAAAGCACAGGCTCTGGGACAGCCACAGCCAGGGACCAGGGGGTTGGTGGCAGTCAGGAGGGCAAGGGCCAGCACACACACAAACCACCTGCAGCCACCCACCAGCCAGAGATTTGCCACCAGGATAAAGAACAGGGACAAGCTGCATCTTGCTGAATTCCTTGCAGGGCAAAGGGAGCTGTCAGAGCACGCTCTGGTGCCAGCTGCCTCCTCAGCTCCCATTTGCCATCTCCACGCTAAGCTGTGTTATCCCCACACTGGCTAAAGGCTGTTAAACCTGGCCCCAAAAAGGAGGTTTCTCACCTGGTCTTACACCCACGTTGTTGGTCACTAATGAGCACAAAGCAGCCAGGCAGATCCAAAGCTGACCCAGGAGGGCAGAAAGCAGCAGTAAGACAGAGCAAAGACTAACCTGGGCAAGGAGTTGGGCTTAAATGCAGCTGGGGATCAAAGAGGATGGAGAGGATGTGGGAGGAGGACACAAATGTTGCTGGTCGGACTAATGAAGACCAATTAGTGCAGGCAGGACCCTGATGCCTTTTGCAGGGGGAGGATGTGGGAGTGGTGCTATGGGAACTGCTGGGGAAACTTATGATAAACCAGCATTTCAGCCCTGGTACAGCCCCCTTTTCTCAGCACCAGCAGAGCTGGTCTGAAGGGGTTTTGCCAGGGTTGTCCAGATCCTGTCCAGCCTCAGGAATCTGTTTTCAGATGCTCTGAGGGCTCAGTTACTGCTGGATCTGCCTAGGTTTTAGGGGTGGATCAGAGCAGGAATTTAATTCGTGACTGAACATGGGGGCAGGAACAGCTCCTGGCCCCAAAGAGCTCTGCAATCCCACAGCTGAAATGTCACTTAGTTTCTCTTGCTTTGAACAAAAAACAAAACCCAAAACCAAGCATCCCCCCGCCCCCACTTCCTCTGTGAGATTCAATCTGCCAGAGGATTTGTTAATCTGGATCTCTGGAACAAATTCAATTGGTCTTTCTCAAAAGTGATTTGCAAGCTCTGAGGCATTTGCTCTTTGGTTTCCAGGCACAGAGAAGCACAGAACCACTGGGGTTGGAAAAGACCTTTGAGATCATCGAGTCCAACCGTTAACACAGCACTGCCAAGGCCACCACTAAACCATGTCCCTAAGACATGGTCAGCCCCAAAACTGCTGCTGAGGCTCCTGAGCTCGGGACTGGCTTACTGAGACATCACATGCCAGTAAGGACAGGCAGAGAGCAGGGATTTGCAGCCACCCCCACTGTGCCCCAGGCACAGCCTGTCCCTTGAGGGCTGCAAGCGACTGCTGACAAGTGACATCCGGCAGAGACGAGCCCGTGGTGTTGGGCCAGATTGCACCACTTGGGCCAACACCTTAATCAGAGCTAAATCTGGATTCTCTGCTGTCACTTTGTTGGGTGACCTTGGAAAAGTCAGCTGGAATACAATGCAAGCTACATGGGAGAGGATGGCAAAGCAAGCCAAGGTCTTGGGATGGAAAGGTACTTAAAAAGTCACTTATAAAGGTATTTACCAAGAGTAATGCTTGGCTTTCTTACCCCCAACAGACACTGATTGACCCCAAAAAGGAGTTTACCACCTCGCTCAGTTTACAGTAAACATCTCCCTTATGTGCATGAGGCTTATTTTACACATTCATAAAATACACATCCAGTGCACACCAGGGCTGAGCTGGGCTGCAGAAGGATGCTGGAAAGGAAGAAGCAGGAAACCTGCTTCTCCATTCCCACCCCTGCTCCCAAGCTGCAGGCGTGGTCTGGTCCCTGAACACCCCTCCAAGCCCCATTGCTGGGGGCAGAGGTTCTGCCTCTCCCCAGCCACAGTCCAGAATTCCCTGCTGGACCCTGTGGCTGGGTCTCCCTCCTGAGTAGCTGCAGGAGAGAAGTGGCCTGCTCATCTCCCCGCAGAGGTGCCCACCAGCTGCAAGCTATTACTGAAGACAATATATAATTATCACCCTTATTTGCATAATATAAAACTGAATTTGCTAAATATAAACCCCTTCCTTTGAGGTGAGCTACATAAATGCCCTAGCCCCTTGTGTCTCTTGGCCTGGCCTTGCAGGGAGGAACCAGCAGCCCTCATCCCAGCAGCTGCTTGTCCCCCTTTGCAACTGAGGGAAACTGAGGCACAGAAGAAGCAGGGACAGTCACTGTGTGAGCGCTCCTGGTCTGCTGCCACAAACAACAGCTACTAGGGCTGGTCCAGTGGGGGAAATCCAAGAAGGTTTGAATGCTGGTATCTTGGGGGTCACTGGAAGAAGAGGATATAATGTTCAGATGTGAACAAGAGAGGATTAGCTCATCAGGGCAGACAGTGACTGGAGAGAAAGACTGAAACAGGCAGTGTGCTTCCCATGTCCCATCCAGCACACTCTGTGTCCCCAGGTGCTGCACGGGCTGGGAGAGCGAAGCACCTTTGCACCAGTTCCCTGCTCCCAACAAAAGCACAGTGTTTGCAGCAGGCACCCAGGTGTGGCTATTGCTGTGAACTCCAACCCTATTCCCAACACCATTAGCGTGAGATGGTCACGTGTGTGTGTGAAAATCTGCCCGTGTTCCGCAGGTGTCCCTGGTCTGTCACATGCACTGCTCAGCACCAGGAGCAGGTTGTCTGAGAGCATCAAGCCCTCAGGAGCAGGAGAACACACACCTATCCCTCCACATTCACACTGTCCATCCTCTCTGGTTGCCCTGGAAGGGTTAATCCAAGGGTTTGCTGCTGTTGCTCTGTGTGGCACAGCCGGCTAAGCCAGCGCTGGAACAAACTTGTTCCTTTACCTTTGTGCAGGCAGAAGGCAGCGAGGAGGTCCTGTGGCACTTGGCAGCACGTCTCCAGGGTCCTTGCAGCAACTGTGCAGGTTGGGCTGCCCAGGGGAAAAGGTGTCCTGCAGCAAGAAGGTGGACGAAAGCCATGGGGTCTGCAGCCCCACTGGAGAGTCCTCCCCAGTGAGCAGGCACCCAGGGAGATGTGAGGGGAGCCAGGAATCTGCTGGACAAACTCAAGAGTTGGACAGGGTAGCTGGGAACAGAGAGGAGCTGTGCTTCTGCCTTTTTTTGCAGGTTTGCTGTTGCCGGGGAGAGGTTTTAGGCTGTCATCCAGCTAATTCACACCAGAGAGACAAGCACTTGAATTAGTTGCATTATCTGCGCCCAGCTAAAGTGGACAAAGGATTAAAGTGTGCTGAGCACCACCACCGTGATTTGCATCTCAGAGCCCCTTCCCACGGGCCCCCCTCTGCTCCCAGCCTTTTTTTTTTTTTTCCCTCATTTCTGGCTGTGAGCCAGCCGGCATAAGAGCCCTGTTTACAGAAATGATGCCTAGGTTAATATTGCAAAAGACTTCATCAAAGCTTTTAGTCGCTACTGAAGCAGAAGTGTCTGACCGTGGGCCACGAGCTGAGCGGGGATGAGCGGCAGCCACGCAGCGCTGCCCTTCGTTTGACCAATTCTGGTCTCAGCCTGAGGTATGAAACTAACTTTCTGCCACCATGGCATATTTGAAATAATGAGCAAAATCAAACTATTATTCATCCTTAAAGCTGCACACAAGACCTAAATGTAGCTGTTGTTTCAGGGGAAAAAAACCACATTTTGAGTGCTAAATAAATATTGCGCTGTGCAGTGACCTTACGGGCACTTTTTCTGAGCTCATCCAGCTGCCAGAGATTATTATTTTGTGCATGTTTATTCATGTGGAGAGGATGGGGAATGCTATTGCAATACGTTTTGTGCTGCCAGGCTCAGAGAAATCAAAACTGGGATCTCTCAGAAGAAGTTCTAGACCTAAGCAGAGGTAAAGCAAAAGCCTATCTGCCATCACTGGATGCTAATTAGTTAATGGCTTCAAAATGTTTTTGCACCACTAGCACTTTGTAAGTAGATAAAGTTTTCCTGAAAGGTTCACACTGACCTCTGCTGTGACACGCAACCTTTATATGTTTCTATTTTTCTTGGCATTTGCAGTTTCCTCCTCTTCTCGGCATGGGGAATGAGTGACCTTAGCAATTGCCAGCAAGGGGACTCCGTATGATGAAAGCAGGTGAAAGGGAAAATAAGGGCGGAACGCAGCAAAGCCAATTCATACCTCAGAGGAGGTGTGGTCCTGTCCTCTACCTGGCTGTGGTCACAGTCTGGTGAAATATAAAAGGAAAAGGCAGCTGTTCCTTAAGCAATCTGGTGCCAGGATCCTGTAGCGAGAAGGAAGGGAGGTGCTGGAAGAAATGCAGAGCAAGAAATCTAGAGTGTCAGCTGGAAAAGGTGTGGGACACACCGGTGCTCTGAGCCTCAGGAACACCATCAGTTCTTCCCTGAAGGCCCTTTTGCTGGGCTGAGGGTTGCACGGTAGCTGCACTCCCTTCCCCAGAAGGCTGGCTTGGAGGAGGAGGGAGCTGTCATGTCCCGAGGAGGAGCAGCAGGACGTGGCGCTGCCAAGCCCCAGGACCAGGGATGGGCATGGATGGTCCTGCTGGCTGCAGTGGTGCTGCAGGCGCTGACACTGGGCTTCTCCTCCTGCTTTGGGGTCTTCTTCACGGACCTCCAGCACGAGTTCCATGCCAGCAACAGCGAGACATCGTGGTTCTCGTCCATCATGGTGGCTGTGCTGCACGGAGGGGGTGAGTAACGCAGGGAACGGCCTCCTCCTCCTCCTGCCCTTTTGCTGCTGGTGGGGGGATGTAACGAGGACACTTCTAACATTTCATTAGGTGGGCAGTAGAAGGGACTGGGAGGTTGAGCAGATTGACTGGTTGGCAGCGCACAGCATCTCCCAGCCACTTGGATCCCGCAGTCCAAAGCTAAGTGCCCACAGATACCCTTCTGTCACTCTCAGAGTCAACCAAAACCCTTTGTCAAAGAAAATGAATCCCTTTTTCAAGCCCAGCTTTTCCAGACCAGCAATAACAGAAAGTTGTTTCCCACAGCTCCTTGAATAAAGCTGGCATGTAGTGCTGGAGCTTGGGTGCTTTCTTGGTTCATCCTCTGTCCACAAGAGCACACCTCCTTCCAAGTGCCACATGACAACTGTGTTCTTTGGAGCTGGAGAGAGGCCAAAAGCCAAGCTCCTCCAAGTTGCCAGCTGAGGCAGAGGCTTAAAAGCAGCTCCTTGGGCGGTGTCATGGAGCTCACACCCACGCAGGGTGGACAAGAGCAGGGCTGGATCGGTGTAGAATCTGGGTCAGGCGGCACCCTCTGGGTGGAGGGCGGTTGTGGTATGTGGATAGTGGAGGCAATCATTGTTTTTTCCCCCTCCACAAAGAAAATGAGGGAGCAGCACAGGACGGTGGTCCCCAACTGCACACACAGATGGGGGGATTCTCTTCTACTTCTGCACAGAGGAGAAAAACAAATCCCCAGCAGCTCGAGGGCTTCCCAAGGAGTGGTCCGTGTTTCGGTGGCCCCTCTGTGTGCAACTCCTGTGCTCATTTGATAAACAGATGACCCAAACCCCACCAGGCAAAAGAAGCAAAGTACCCAGTGTTGGCCATGTATCCAAGCTGCTCCTTGAGTTCACACCTGCTCCCTTCCAATGCTGGTGAAAGTTGACACTACAATATATATATAAAAAAAGAAAACCAGGACTCAGGGTCACACTGATGTGAAGGCTGTGGCAGGTTCAGTCTCTCCTGTGCAGGACTTGGCTGAGAGCCACCTGGCATGGAATTGAGAGTTTGCACCTTAGCAGGAACAATTGGGTCCAGAATATCAAGGTGCAGCTGGAAAGAGACCGCGGGGAAAGCAAGAAGGGGAAGAATCATCACTGCAAATCAGCAGAAATAGAGCAGTGTCCTTGGGGCTTCAAATTCCAAAGCATGTGGGCATTCCCTGTGCTGCCTTCCATCCCCTGTGGTCCTGCTGTGGTTAGTGGGAAGGATCCAATTGGGACCTGCTGGCTTTAGGAAATGGTCTCAGAAGCAACTTGGTCCCAACGTATCCAGGAGGGAGAACTCTGGCAGTATCCACAAGAAAGTATCAATTATCCAATCATCTTTAATGAAGTAATTGTTGTGTAGGAAGCTGGAACCACAATAAAAGCTGATATAAATACAGCCAATTAATTGATCCAAAAGTTACAAATTAGGCAAGAAAAGAATATCCTCATGTTAATGATATTTACAGTAGATTGTGTCAGGGCACAGCCAGAGGGTTGTACTTTCCTTGCCAGTTATCTCTCCTCTTGCAGGCTGTTACAGCCCAGAGGTGCTTGTTCTTGTTCCCCAGTAGCACAAGGCAGCAGTAACATGACCATAAACCAGGAAGGAAACTAAACAACAAAATAAACAGACCAAAGCCCCCGTCTCAGGCCAAACACGTATGGCTTTTGCTGCAACTTCTGATCTCCTTTGCAGTGAGCCAGGCTCCTTTTGATTCAGGTTCTCTGGTTACAGCCATCATCTCAGCACTTAAACCTTTCCCAGAATTGCACCCTGCTGTCACCAGTGTTCTCTTAGAGGAGATTCTCTCTTTTCTTTGCCTTTATTCTTTTTAATTCAGAGGAACCAAAGGGGGAAAAAATATTTGCTGCAAAAATTGGTAAAGAGGGAGGGAAATGGTCAGAGCAGCCTGTTCTCGGGGCGGTCAGTGCGGGGAGAAGATTCCATGCAGGAGAGCTGGCTGCAGCTCCACAGCGCTATGGAAGGAAACAGAGAAGGGCATAGCACAAATAATAGCTCGTACGTCAGTCAAACATATCTCATTACCTGTGCTACCTTCCTAAGTAAAAGCCATTAACGATAATTTTGCTATAAAATCATTTGAGAGAGCTCAGGATCCTACATCTGCCTCCAAAAGTGGATTTCAGGCCCTTACAGGTTCCTGCTCCTGGATATTCATGCACACGGAACTTTCTGGACTCACTCATACAAATGCAGCACTTTTGTTGATATTATTTCTGCAAAGAAAAGCACAAAAGCCCCAGGCAAGTGAGAAATAACATTTAAAACACAGACAGCAAGTTATCAGGAACAAATAATGAAAAACCCTTATGGTTTTTAGAGCCAATCTCATTATTTTGGAGTTTTAATTTATGCCTTCTGGCTACTTGGGTTGGTTAAACAGCAGTACCATCCCTAATGTCTTCAGCAGGAGGAAAAATAATCCAGTCACGTTTGCAGAACACTTTTTCAAAGGCCAGCAAAGTCTGAGGTGAAAATCTCCCAAGCAGATCGAAATACAGACAGCTGCACTCCTAATTTGAATAATGTTCCACTGTTCATTTGACTGTATGGATTTTATTTCAAACCAGATATCATTTTAGGTCACAAATATGCCACAGGTTATTTTCTCTGCACTAACTGACTCCTAATTCTGCAGCTTACAGTCATTTTGCATTTGCTTATATAACCTTAAGTGTTCAGAATTGGGGGGAAAAAATACATGGAAAATCTTGAGGATCCTCAAAGGAACAGGAAAAGAAACTCTACCTTCAAATCCTCTTCTGCCAGAACATACAGAGAGAAGCACATTCTTCCCATTGACGGTCTGCAGGTCTGAACTCATCTTTCCCTACCCCAAAATGAAGGCTGCCTAATTTCATTAACAAACCAGTTATTTACCACAATCTCCCAGAATTCAGAAAAGTCCATTTCCAAGGGTTTTAATGAAAATCCATCACATCCTACTTGATGGCCAAAATCCCAGCAGATCTCAGGAGCCTTTCCCTCAGCTAACAAGTTGACCAAGCACTTGTGAGGATCAGGCAGTGTATTTTTATTTCCTGGCTCCCCCAACTACATAAAGCTTCTAGGACAGCCCTCAGGGTCTCTAGACTAAGTCGTTTGACAATTGCAGCAATCCAGCAGGTACAAAACATTTCCTTCCTCCCTGACCGATTCCCTTTTTTCTTCCCTGCTTCCAGGGCCCCTCTGCAGCATCCTGGTGAAGCGGTTTGGCTGCAGGTTTGCAGTGATGCTGGGGGGGCTGCTCAGCGGGCTGGGAATGGTGTCCAGCTCCTTCTGCAAGTCCATCAGCCAGCTCTACCTCACAGTTGGGCTCATCACCGGTACGTGCCAGAGAGCAGCAGGAAAACCCAGCTGTGTGCTTGATGGGGAGAAGGGGAATGGGGAGGGTCCTGACTAAGTGCTCACGTTTTTCCATTCAGCTGGGAAAAAGGAGAATGCAACATCCCCCAGTGCAGCAGGAATCCTACAGCCACTAGACTTGGCCTTCACACCCCTTTAACACACTCATCCAAGCTCACCGTGAAATGCTTCTCTCTGGAAAAAGCTATAGGTCTCCAGAGGGCAAAATGGAGAGCAAAGATATCTGTTCCTTTTAGTTGCTTCTTGGCCTTTTGTCTTTCAATAAAGCAGGATTTTTTTGTTGGGGTTTTTTTTTCAATCTTGGAACATAATGTGTTGGGATAATGTCCTTCCCAGTTTCCCTGGGTTTATATTTCACCACTCCCAATCTGGGGAAATGTGGAGACAACTTTTTCTAACAAAAGACCATGTTGGTTTTGAACAGAAGTAACAGATGGGAACTTTTCCTTTCCAAATATTTCTCCTGTGTGACTGACGTTCAACTCTTGGTTTTTAATAACACAAAGAGATTAATTCCTTACTTTGGGACCCATCCTGCTGGATCTTGCAAGCTATGCTGTGGCCACTGCATAGAAAGAAAAACAAGCAACTCCCTGAGCCCTGATGAAAGTGTCAGGAAAGCAGCACTGCTTGTTACATGTGGTATAAAAACCAAGTATTTAATGAACAATTCCATAACAACTTTAGGAATGGCAACGTGCCCCAGACAAATGTCAGTTTAGATCAGTATATTTACTATACCCAAGAACACAAGTAGTTTAATTTATACACATCCTTCTCCATTCCTAGTGTGGGTTTCTGAGTATTAATCAACCCCTGGGGGCTGTGGAGCCTGGCAGGTGAGGAGATGCTTCAGTAGCAGATGAAATCACCTGTCGGTACACCCTGAGTTTGTGCTGTTTTCACCCTTTAAGACAACACAGAGGGATCACATATGGTCACTTACTCCTTTATTCTCACCCTTAGGTCTGGGGTCGTGTTTCAGCTTCCAGGCAGGGGTGACTGCGCTGGGCTACTACTTTGTGCGGTGGCGAACGCTGGCCAACGCCATGGCCTCCACCGGCGTCTCCCTCGGCTTCACCCTGTGGCCGCTGCTGTCTCAGTACCTGCTGGAAGAGATGGGCTGGAGAAACACCTTTGTCATCTTTGGAGGAATACTCCTGAACTGCTGTGTCTGTGGAGCCATCATGAGACCCATCGGCTCACTTCCACAGCCACCCGAGCCTGGAGAGGAGCCAGGCAGCAAAGCAGAGGAGGCACAGCTGTCCAACGGAGTGTCTCCTCCCCACCCTGCACTCCAGCAGCACGCCAGAAGGACAACATGTTTCCAGGTGCTGCAGAAGTACCTGGCTTTTGACATCTTCTGCCAAAACAAACGTTACCAGATTTACACTATTGGAGTGGCCTGGATGATGATGGGGTTTGCACTGCCCCACATCTACCTTGTGCCTTATGCCATCCACAATGGGGTGGAGGAAGGCAGGGCAGCTCTTCTTATCTCTGTCATCGGGTTCATCAACATCTTCATCCGCCCTCTCACAGGGCTGCTCTCGGGGCACAGGGTGTTCACAGGGAGGCGCATCTACCTGTTCAGCCTGGCCGCGCTCCTCTGCGGGCTGAGCAACTTCATCTGCATCATATCAGCCGAGTTCAGAGTCCTCATCCTCTACTGCGTCATCCTCAGCATCTCCATGAGCGGGGTGGGGTCACTCACCTTCCAGGTGCTGATGGATGTGGTGGAGATGGACAGGTTCTCCAGTGCTCTAGGGCTCTTCACCATCGTGGAGAGCATCACTGTCCTCATCGGGCCCCCACTCACAGGTGAGAGAACCTTTGCCAGGAAAAAGCTGGCACAGTGGCAGTGGCACAGGGGTTCTCTACTGGGTAAACTAAATGAATCAGCAGTTTTGGGGGAAAATTAAAATTTCCTTTCTTTTCTGATTTCTGTGTGTATTGAGAAATACTTTCAACAGAAGCAGAAACATTACCTGAATGGTAACTACAAAAAAAAAAACCAAACCAACCAACACCTAGAATTTAGAGAAGAGAACCCATCAGAGAATGCTTACCTTTTGTGTATGGCAATTTACTGAATTATTTAGGTTTAACATTCGTGTCAATTTATGCCTTTAGTGTGCATCTTCTCTTTGGCTTCTATTTCAGGTCTCCTGGTAGACATAACCGGTGATTTCCTCTACGTCTTCCACACCTCGAGCTTCTTTCTGATATCTGCTGCATTATTTATGGGGCTCAGCTTCTGTGCTCTGGAAAAAAAAAACAAATTGAGAGAGGCTTCCAAAGTACCTTTGAGTAATCCCTCCAGATATCCATACAGCAAAAAGCCAAGTGATCCACAGGCTGAAAGTCAACCCCCTCCAGCAGTTGTGTACGTCACAAGCATATGAAAATAAAGAAAAGAAGGGAAGAAAAGAGCAACACAATGATGTGGTCTGTACAAAGCTACACATGGCCCAGCACTGATGGCATATGAGAAAAAAAAGTCTGCTTTCCACAAATGTCATCTTCCTTCTGCACTTCTACTCCCAGGGGCCATGTCAGACTCCAAGAGAAGCATCCAGACCATGGGATGAGCCCCAAACCCAGCACCAGCCAAGGAGATGAAGGACAGAGAGATCTGTGCTCTCCTAAAGCAAACCATGGGACAACAGCCACAGAAGGAGACAAAAAGCTGTGTCAGTTCAATTGGGTTAAGTCACTACCTTTAAGAAATCATTGGAAGTGCTGGACAACATGGATTAATGGCTATGCATAAGAGTAGTTCTTTCACTTGTAATTTTGCTGCACAAGCATCTTGGTTGCTTCCTATGCTGCAGGTGGCAAGACACTTTCTACAGGAAGAGTGTAATTATTTTCCACATCTCTAAATATTATCTGAAAGCAGCTGCATGGGTTGCAGAACTCAGACAAGTCTCTAGAAAGACCAATTATTTTTTCCTACAAGGTATATACACGAATTCTTCATGCCAAGACCAGTTTCAAAGCCTGAAAGGTTCAACTCTAGAGCATCAAAAAGAAAAAAAAACACCAAAACTTGGAGTGCCTGCTTTATATAACTAGTGATATCTCAAGTGCTTCTTGATATATCATAAAAGAGGATTCATGGCTTGTGTAAACACACTTCAGCATTACCTGGAACCCATTTGGGGGAGAGAGCAAAGGTGTTACCATACCTAAGCATAACTGTATGCCTCCTTTCATAGGGCCAAATTCCAAGCAACTGTGGAAATGAATTCAGCTCTTTAGTCTTAGATTCTGACTTAATTGCACCAGCACGCTCATTTTAGAGAACTTTGTACAAGCATAACTTTTATTTCTTCTAATCACAAGCAGAACTTACAAAGAAATCTGTGGGGGAAGGTATACCAAGGAAAGGCAGTGTTGCTGACTTTGCTTTCCTTACAGCCTTGACCTGCAAGTGGCTTTTCCTGCTACATTCCCAGGAGGTAGGCTTCTCACTGCTCGTGTGGTGGCTGCATCAGCCTCAGCATCAGCTTGAGGTGCAAATTGTTCATATTCTGTATAATTCCTGATCCGACAGAAGCAGGTAAGAGCTCACAAAACACGGCAGGTGAAAATTACCCAACACATTATAACCGTCAGAAAGATGGACGCAGAAAATGGGAGTGAAATGGAAAAACGAACAACTTTCAACTGAACTACAGTGCTTACCTTGAGACCTGTTATACCAAACTCAACTGCAGTGCCTCTCTAAGAACTGCCATATCAAATTCCTACCGACAAACCCACAGTTTTCTTTAAACCTCCCCAGACAAAACAAGCCAACCAACCAAAAACCTGAATTGAACCACTGGAAAACTGACTCCAAGATCTTCAGAGACTACAATGGCTTCACAGCTGGCCTTACACAGAGGAGGTACCAGCCCTTCAGAAGGATTTCTACTTCCACAGTTCAGTATCTTCGCCCTAGGATTACAGAACCAGTAGACTTTGTATTTCCTGATCAAACCTATACTTAAATAAGATAATTAGTGGGAGATATACATATCTAATCTCTCATCAAGTGTGTTTATTAAATTATGTGATGCTTACATGGTCCATAGCTACAAAGTAAGCAGGGACTGGTGCTTCTCAACTTGCCAAAACAGACTGTTGTACATTCCTAGGAAAATGATGGGGCTTTCTCCCTCCCAAAAAGCAATGAAGAAGGATCAAGTCCCAGATCTCTTCTAGCTATTGCAAATAAACAGCTAAGCAGCTGAACAGATTGATATCTTTTCTGTGTGTAATTCTTAAATTTTTATGGTTTCTCAACTTGCTGATACAACCTTTCTAACAGCCTTACAGAATTTAAGCTGTCTGAAAACAGGGCTGTCTCACCTCATTACTTTCCACAGACCCTTTAGAAGTAATCCACAACCCAGAGGTTGGAACCAAATCCTGCACAGAGAAGAGGTAACTTTTTAGGCTGTGTTTCCACGGGTGAGTTAAGATGTCTGAGCTGCCATAGCAGAGAAAACAAAAGTTCAAGAAGCACCTTTTCTCACTGAAATGAAACATTCACCAGGAAATTCACAGTTGGAAGATGGCGATCCTTAAAAGCCTTAGATACTCTGCCAATGTAATAGGTGGAAAATATTAATATTTGCATTAAATGTGGATATTATTTATTAATATTTAATATAAAAAAAACCCAAAACCAAATAAAAGTCACAGTAAACTTACACACCTTAAAAAACCTCAGAAGTGCAAAATCACTTGATTTAAGAGCTTGGCTTGCTGTTTGCAGACCTGGCTCGTAGCTGTAAGAAAAGAAACAACTAATAGATGAAAATTCCCTGAATTCTGGATTTGGTGTGCTATCTACCCAGGCTATATCAGTCCACACTGTGCAAACTACTCCAGCAAACAGCAAGTGCTTGGAGCATTCAGACCATTAAACTATACAGCCAACACTGAGTGAGTAAATGTAGTACTTATAAACAGAAGTAATAGCATTTTACCTCTTTAAACACAGTTTCCCCCCTCTTATTAGTCAATCCCAGTATTGCTCTGTTTGTATTGACTGGCTCCCCTGTGCTTTCTCTGCTCCTGCTTTCTCACATTACTCGTTCACTTTCTACTTAATGACAGATGTGGCTTTAAAGTATGTCAACACTTACCACTTAAAAAGGTACACATTAAAAGAGATTTGTTACTACAGTAGCAAAACATTCTAATATAGACATGGTCTGTAGCACCCTTGCTGACAATTTTCATATATATATGTATACTCAAATATACAGATATATTTACGAATATATAGATGTCTATATACATATAAATAGATAATGACTTCAGTTGATAATTATGCTAAGAGCTGAAGCTGCTAGCACAGGCCTGCCTTAAACTTTTGTACCAGGTAAAAATAAATGACTTTCCTTTCACTTTCTCTGTCTTCCCATGCCGTTACCACGTTAAAATATTTAGCATAGCTGCATTCAGTGCAGCTTCTTTGCTCATCCTTCTATTTAATGTGGTCACAGGCAGATATTTTGTGCCCCCAGCTGTGTGGTAGGAGAGGTTTGTCAGTCCAGCACTCTTGTCACTGGTGCCATGAATTTGGTGGATCGGTCCACGTTCAATTTGCTGTATGTGAAAACCAATCACACTCGAGATAACAAAAAAAGACAACACGTACTCACAGCCTGTTCCTTCCTTATCCACAGCAGAACCTCTGTGCGTGTAATTGCTTCAGTAAAAGCAATGCAAATTTTTGCGAAGTCCAAACCCCCACACCCCCTCCCAGGTTTATGATGTTTTTTAACTCTTACCATATATATTTACAGAACATGAATCACACCTGGACCCAGTTGCAACACGTAAAGTCCCGGCGGTTCCACTGAGCTGTGTGAGTTCAGAACCAGGGAATTGCTCTGCTCTGTGCCCGCTGTAAACCAGGGTGGGATCACCTGCTGCTGGTTTAATTCACTCCCTGGCTTTGCCTCATTTTTTTTTCCCAGGTAATTTATCTCACTGGGCAGTGAGGAAGGGTCAGCTCCTTTCCAGAGCAAAGCTTTGCCGTGTAACAAAACACAAACACCACGACACAGCGTCATTCATTTTTATACATTTATGTATACTTATATATTTATATATATTTGTATATATCGTATACTATATATGTTATTAATTTATACCTAGGGGAGGAGGAGCCGCACCCCCACACACCCGAAGGGAACGGGAGCCGCCCCGCCCGCCCACAAAATGGCGGCCGCCCCCGCCCCGCCTGAGGGAGACGCTCGCGCCGTGTCACGCCCACAAAATGGCGGCTGGTGGTGTTTCTTCGCCGCTGTGAAGCGGCCGGTTTGTCTTCATCCCACGGCACACCCGGTCCCTGAGCTGTCCGTGATCAGCACTGCCCGGGGTTCCAGGGGAACGGGGAGCCCATCGAGGTGTCCCACAGGCGGGCCCGCGATGGAGCTGGGGCGGCTGGAGTACCTGCAGGCGCTTGTCACCGAATTTCAGGTGACGGACAGCCCAGGTAACAAACACCGCTGATCGCTCACTCCTCTCATGTTGAGTGTTTCCTCACACACCTGACGCTTCTCCCTTGCAGAGGCCAAGGAGCAGGTGCTGGCGAACCTGGCCAACTTCGCCTACGATCCCAAAAACTACGAGTACCTGCGGCAGCTCCAGGTGCTGGATCTGTTCCTGGATATGCTCACCGAGGACAACGAGACCCTCGTGGAGTTTGCCGTTGGTAAGGGCTGCCCCGAACACCCTCAGCTGGCACCTGCCTGGCAGGTCCGGGGACACCAGGTCCCACACCTGGTTTGGTGGTTAATCCCCCCCCCCCGCAAAATGGATCAGCAATCGGGCTCCAAAGATAGACCCACACTGTGCTGATAAAACCTCATTTAGTCCAGAACGTGTGGAATAGGGAGAGAAGTCAGAGGCAGGCATGTCCCCCCCTGTCCTGATAGAGCTTAATGAAGGCACTTTCTGGAAAGGATTTTGGTTGGTTGGTTTTTTTTCCCAGACCATAAGTAAACACTACCTGATTGACTTTTTTTCTAAAATCTCTCCTATAGAGAAGCAATAATTAATACATAAATTTAGCCAGGTATATTGTACAGGTCCATTGTTACCATTCTGCTATTGACAGCTGGTCTTCTAGAATATTTACTTGACACTTTTTAATAAATTCTCTGAGAAACTGCCTTATCTTTTTATGGTCTTCTTATGATCTTTTTATGCTTTATTTTTTATGGTCTGAACATAAGATAAGGGGCCAGATCCTGTGAGGGATTCTATGAGATGATAATAAATATACTTGATTGTTAAGGTTTGTGGCTTCTCAGAGTTTCAAGTTCAAACATTCTGTGCCTCTTGCCTAACACTGTTATGTCCATTCTCCGGTTTTCTAAAACACGTGCAGTAAATTGCTGGCTGGTATCCTCAGTTAGGGATAAGCGATCCTGGAATCATTCTGTGGAAGCAGTTATGTGCAGCAGTAACAGTGCCCTCTAATGACACACAGGAGGAGGAATGTGCTGGTGGAAAATCTCTGGAAAGCATCAACAAAACACGGCATAGGGAACTGTGAAGAATTTTCCATCCAAACCTCACAGAAAATCTCAATACTTACTTCTGTGTTAGAGACAGGACGAGCTTAAATTTGAATCTGATTGCGACAAAGACCAGGGTGTGGAGAGTTTGCCTTGTCAGACACTTTCTTTTGCCGTTTCAGGTGGTCTTTGTAACCTGTGCCTGGATAAAACTAACAAAGAGTACATCCTGGAGGCCAACGGGGTGGAGGCCATCATCAACTGCCTGTCCAGCCCCAACGAGGAGACTGTGGTGTCAGCTGTCACCACGCTGATGTTCCTCACGACGCCGCAGTCACGGCACCAGACCACGGCCTTGCCCGTGGTGGAGTGCATGCTCCGCTTCTCCCTCTCGGCCAACAAACGGCTCAGCAACCTGGCAACCCTCTTCCTGGAGGATTACTGCTCCCCTCCTCAGGTGGAGGAGGCCAGGAATCTCAGCAAACACACAGCAGTGGGGATCCCCCTCCCCAAGGACTGAAGCTGTTTGAGAGGGAAACTGCCCTCTGTTCTCACTTTCTGCTCAGCAGGTCAAGAGCGTGTCAAAAAATGGGGAAAGAGGGAAGCTGGTCCTACCAGCACTGGGGTTTAGTTAACAAAGATGATGGTGCAGCACTACCATGGCAGCTGGACCGAGCATGCAGCTAAAACTGCCAGCAAATATTTAAGATAAAGCAGGTTATGGCTGTTGGAGAGCAGTTTGCCAAGTGCAACCCAGCAGCCAGCTTGCACAAATAACCCTTCCCAGCAGTTAGGGGGTTTCTGCTTGGCTTATTGAGCAGCTTACATCCCCTCCAGTTCCTGGCTGATTTTGCTGCAGCTCTCCCCTTCAGTGTCAATGACAACTGACACGTAGTGTCAACTCAAATGACTTCAAAATGTCACAGAAATTTATTCCTCCTGCAGAGAAAGAAGGAGTTTTCCTGCCCTGGCAGTTCACAATCTTTCTACATCCCTGTGGAACTAGTTATGCCACCCTCTCATCGTGGCATAGGCACCTGGCTCCTGAGTCAATGCACAGGGCAGGCTGTAACTATCCTTTAAATCAAGAAGTGGAAAGTTGTTTTTCTTTCATTACCACCGATGAGGAAGGTGAAGATTTAAAAAAAAAAAATGGCTCACAGCAGTCTGGCTCATGAGAGCTGCTGTCTTGTAAAACCTTCTCTTAATAAAACATTAACTTGAATGCTGTGTAATCAGTTCTGTATGAGCTCATAAACATTTCTCTGCAGCACTTGCAGCCTTTGCCCACTCTTACTCAAGCACATGGGCCAGAAATCGAGGCCAGCTTGGTCTCCTTTCATGATCAGCCAATGAGGCAAGAGAAAACCCAAAAGCCAGGGTGGCTAAATACATAAAATTTAGAAGGTTTGGCTGTTGAGCCCAGTGCCCCCTGACAGACACCCACACTGTGTCTGCTCAAGTTTCAAGAGCTTTCCTTCTTCCTCTTTTTTCCTCCTCTCCACCCCCGGACAGCACAAACCAAACAGGAGCGAGGTTAAACACACACACACAAAAATCCAACCAACCCACAGCTGCTTGTGTTTTATAGTTTCTCTTCTCCAAACAGCAAACATCCAAAATGCTACAGAGGTTAACTGAGTGCAGAGGAATCTTCCAGAAACGTGGAGAGAGTCAGCTCTGTACCAAGTCTGGCAGTGGCAGCTCATTCGTTATTATAACTGACCCCGAGGTGATGGTGCTCACTGGCTCCTGGGAACGGGTTTCCCTGGCATTGGGAAGGGCACAGCATCCCCTTCCTGCACTACTGCCTGCGCTTGCTTTCCAGGATGGCCTTCCAATTGTCCGCCCAGGAGAGCAGGCGCCGGCGCGGGGCCGGCAGCTGGACGTGCCTGTTGTGGCAGCAGGTGAACAGGATGTGCTCCCAGCTCGGGTTCGGTTCTGCACCTGGGGAGGGAAAAGGGGGAAAAGTGGAGTCAGCTGGGGGTGACTCCCCGGCCAGCAGCCAGCAATGGAAGCGCTGTTCAAACCTTGGATGGTGTCCTTGTCGTCGAACAGCAGGTCAGCAGCTACGACGGTCTTATCTCGGGTCAGAATAATCCTCTCCACAAACTCGGGCCCCAAATGTTTCTCTACCCACTTATACTGCAGAGACAAGGAGTAAGAGAAAATCCAGCTGTAGTCTCAGTTTGCACATTGCTCGTGCCAGGTCAGCCCTAGTGCAGTAATTTTTTCCCCTGTAAGCCCACATCTCTGTCTAGGAATCCCCGTGTGGAGGCTGGCCACAACCCAGGACGGATTTAACCTGTGACAGCCTTCACTCAACACTGCCCTGGCCATGCTGAACTGTTGAGTTTGTGAGCAGCACTGGCTGCTTGCCCAGAGCACGTGGATTGTGCCCATCCAAGTCACTCCAGTGACCAAAGTCTCCCCTCCATTCTCGTGCCAGTGGCAAACAGGACTAATTCCAACACCACAGCCTCCTCAACTCAGCATTGGCCTCTTTTGGGGCAGCTGGATATCTCAGTCTCCAGATTTAGACAGAAGGTTTTGTTGGTTGAGGATTCTCCAGCGTGGAATCCCCTGGGAATACCCGTTCCTTGTAGGGAACTACAACAGTTCCTTTGCTATCACCTCCTGATAAACTGGTCCCAAGCCCAGCTCCAAGAGCTCAGGGCTCACAAGCTCCATAGTAATTCTGGCAGCACGTGGCACTGCAAGATTCCCCATCCTGAGCTACTGCTCTGTGTCTGGGCAGCTGTTCCTCAGACAGGGATTGAGGGAAGCCTGGCAGCCGGAGCAGCCACTGCCTTAATAAAGGAATGGCTCTGTCTTGGTGGTATGAACCAGCAAGGCCTTGCAAAAGCAGCATTAAACCCAGCAAAATAAATTCTCTCCCACCTTTTCCACGATGCAGTGCTCGTATTTCCGGAGGGGACTCGTGCAAATGAACACCTGGGTGCTGAAAAGAAAACAGCCTTCGTTAGCAGTCAGGGGGGAAAGTAAGGTCATGGACAAGGGCTGCAGAGTGTCCTTACTCCTGCATGTGGATCATCTCCTTCATAGCTTCAAGGCCTCCTGGAATTGGATCCAACCTCAGGAAGAAGCCAGGCGACTCATAGACACTGGCTACCTTGGCCTGCAAGAGACAGAGGACAGTCAGCAGTGCCTGTGCTTTGATCCAAGATGCCCCAGCAGTTTTCCAGTTATCCCGTGTGTAACAGCCAGCAAAGGGCCAGCACTTTGCCGAGAGAGGTGATGCTTCCCTCCAAGAGTGGATTATAAAATTTCTCACCTTTTGGGTTCCAGGAAAAGTCCAACCCAGGCACACAAGAAGTCATTCCTGGTGGCTCATTCGGAGTGAGGAGGCAGAGCTGACTCTGACCTGGATTTGTTCCCACCACAAACAGCCCTGACCCGCAGCTGGAATCGCTGAGCTCTGGCAGAGGGACAGCTCCCTCCTCACCCCTCCCCAGCAGGTCTCTCTGGACTAACTCTTGTGAAAACCAAAGGAACAAGTTTGAGGCTTCTGCTCCTCTGTCATGCTTGGCTGAGATTTGCTGATGACTCAGGAATTTACCAGGGACAACTGGGCAGACACAAGCACTGCCCAATATCCCTCTTTTCCTTTGGAGCAAACAGGGCAAAGTGGTGACCGTGCCAGTGGCCAAGTCAGCACACCCACACATTTGGGGTGAATCCCTTCAGCAAGAGGGAAGAGTGAGGATGGGAGCACTGGGAAAGCTCCGTGTCTTTGCTGCTTTCTGTGGTTTTCAATCACTCACTAAAACACCCATTGCTGAAGGAGCAGACCTCGACTCCAGCACGGTTGGAGCTGCTCCTCTGTGGTAAAGTCTGCTCCAAAGAGTGTCAGACTGCAGCAGGAAGTTCAGAGGTGTATCCCTGTGCTTCCCCAGGAACCTCTGGCTCCCTGGGGTGACCTGTGCACCCCGTGACCCCCAGCTGGGCTGGGTTTGGGGGTGCTGTGGGACAGCTCTCCCTTCGCCTGGCTCGGGGCATGGGGCCCCACGATGGGCTGAGCAGGGGGATTAAGGGCTTTATCCCTGTTGTGTCTGCACCTGCTCTCGGTGTAAACCCACCTTCCATACAGGCATGTGGGATGCCACATGAATCAGGGAAGTCATTAATGGTGAGAAAGTAGGAAAGGAGGTTTGTGCTAAAGGTAGAATAATTTTTAAGTGAGTGTAAACAGGAAAGAAACAAGATTACTGGAGGAGCAATGTTATCCCATTTTGGCTAAAGTACTCAAAAATGGTACAGAAAGGTATTTAATATGATACAGCACAGTGGCATTTACAACCCCTAAAAGGAAATGCAGTATTTCCAGGGCAATTCCAGTGCCTTTAGGTAGGACTGTCCTTCTAGTCCTTTTTTTTTTAATTTACTGATAAGACATTTTCATACGTTTTATTATTAGGAAATTCATTGGTTTGAATGCAGTTCTGGTTAGTTAATTTTAAAGATTGCCCTCTGTTGACTGTTCAGTGGCCTGTGTTAAATCAGTGTTTCAGAGTGGGTCACAGCCCATGGGTTTTCTCCCCCCTTATCACACATCCCATCATGGCAAAGGACCCACAGCAGTGCTGAGGCCACTTCCAGGCTCAAGTTTGACTCTCAGACAGAGAGGTTCAGCTTCCAGTATCTCTTCTACCCTGAGACACACAAATCTTACCTTCCCTGGGGTCACACTGTAAAATTCAGAGGTGTCAAAACAGCATTTTTCCACCAGCATTAGAGTCATACGTTCCCATGCCACTGAACAATTTTGAAAACTTAATTCTTGTTAAGTATTCTTCAAAGGCAGGCTGCAGCCTTTGCTCAGAAATTGTACAAGGCAGCTTTAGAGTCCAGCTGATGGTCTCTTTGCTCTATATCACCAGTGGAACATCAACATAAAGACCATTTCAATTAAGAAGCAATGAGAAGGAGCTGGCATTAAGCCATTCTCCCAGATCCCGGAGCTCACTCAGTTATCATCATCTGCAAATACTCATAAATCAACACCCAGAAATTTGGAAGCACTGCCTGATTTCACACGCAAATCAGAAGAGGCTGAGGAGTCTCTGGGTGCAGACAGTGGCAATCAGATCTGCCCAGATCTCTGTTTCCATGCAAAGCCTCCCTGATCCCAGCAACAATTCCCTGGAGCTCTTCCCAAGGAGATTGAATTACAGACTCAAGGCTTGTGCCTGAAAGCTCTTTTATCCTACAGCAAGTCACCAGAAACTGGCAAGTTTCCACTACGTCACAAGAAAGTCTGGCTTTGCTGGCAAAAGAAAATCGATTTGATGACTCTTAGAATCAAAAGCCATTTCCCTCCCCCACGAGAAACAAAAAGTGATTAGAAACTGAAAGTAAAACCATTTTCTTTCCTCATTTTCATGCCATCAGTGCTGAAGGTTTCCTTTTAACTTCCATTAGCAAGATAACAACTTGGATGCAAAACTGGAGTGACTACCTCTATCCCTAAGCTTTCCCGTTGGCATTTAAAAAACCAATTCTAGACACCTAAAAATAATACTAGAAAATTTTGCCCCCGCTGGAGGTGTTGAATCCTTTTTTGAAACTGTCTGGGGCCAGGAAACACATCCTAAACTCTTGGGAGATAAATCCCCATCAAAATGGCTACACACGCAGGGGGGCAGATAGGCAAGAGCAGTAAAGAAAGTTTTGAACAAAATAAAATGGATTAAAAGTCTTTCTAAATAAAATGGATTTACAATGTGAAATCAATGATCAAAACAGAAATAAACCCCAAGTAATGGCTCCAGTTTCAAGGGGCAGCTGCTCAGCACCAACAAAGCATAAACACCCCTCAGTAAGAGGCGATTCATAAATCATTAGCACAGCACTTCCCACCCCCTGGCATGAGAGTATCCCACACCCTGGCAGTTCATGGACAGGCACAGCCGACACCTGCCACAGAGCCTGGTGTCCAGCTGATCCCTGGTGTCCTGCTGATCCCCTCCTTTCAGCACTGACAAACTGCAGACTCAGTTTCCCTGCACGGACATGAGGCCTCACAGACCCCCCGGCACAGGATGGAAAAACTGTCCTCAGTGTCTGGGCTGCTGGTTCCTGCTGAAGCTTTTCCTGCAGCTGTGGGCAAGGAGAGACCTTCCACAGGGATTCTCCTGCCTCAGAGACACCCTGTACAGCCACGGCAGAACTAACAAGGGCTCTATTTTTAAACTATTTTATGATTTTTACATAAAACCCAAAGGAGCTTCAAATCTTAAAAACTTCATTGTTGTGGCTAAAGCAGCCCAGAACTCCAGAGGTTACTGAAGGAGACCCACAGCACAGCTCCACAAAGCTAATTTCCTTAGGAAGCCAGGCAAGATAAGAGCTTTCTGCCACTGCTGATCTGCGTGGGACTCAAACCAGTTATCTGGTTATTCCATTGCCACACCTAAGGTCTGGGGAGAAACAGGATGAGCACCAACCAAATGAGGGAATGGGAATGCCAGAAACAGAACAAAACACAATTTTTTTGATAGATCAGATTGTAGACCTTCAAAATAAGAACAAATAAAAATTCAAGACCCCTTTAATTACCTGCATTTTTTTTGTCCATATATACCTAAACAGGATTCACTTAAGGAATACTAATTTAAACGATAAATCATGTCTGTTTATGTAAAATAATAACCAAATTCATGCCTGCTGGCTATATTTACAGGTTCCTAGGTCCAGGAACTTCTGAGCATCAATAGTCATTGATTAGAGCTCGGGCAGTTTGGAGCCTGTGGAAATGCTGACTGGACCCAGCATTCCCATCCATCACCCTGGTGCAGGAGCCTGGAACAGGAGGGAAATCAATATGAATTGTCGTTTCTTAGCAGTAAAAAAACCCTACAGGCTCAGTACAGGACCTTAAAATTAGCAATGAACCTCTCAGGGAAAGTGTATGGCACAGCCTGGATCAGCATCCAGGCTCTGTAAAGAGTCCTCGACTGTCCTGCAGTGACCAGAGGGAAGGGTGAAGTCTGGATTCACAGTATTTTTGATTTTGCCTTGCAAACCTCTCTGATATTCATTCAGTCATTAGCAGACATTAAAAATGGCAACAGTTTGCATGGATGTAGGGTGTTCCAGAGCTTTCTGCATGCTGCTCCTGATCATTACCTGCCATGCACTCTGCTTGTCAGGGCATGCAGAGGGAATATGGACACAGGATTTCATTAGCTGTACAAACCCATATATAACATTTATATTTCTTGTCCTGCTGTGGAGCCACATTAACACTCACAGAGCACTCGGGGAGCTTTGGGTAAGTTACTACTCCTGCTGCACAGCAAGAGCAGGAACATGAGTAGGGTAAAGAACAAGCTGAACGTGGTTCAGTGAAGAGTTTGATGACAGAATTGCTCTTTGCCAATTCCTGCACACACTTCCCTGTAAAGGGCTGGTGATCCTCCTGGAAGAAATCACTAATTATCACTATACAAAATAAGGCTGCACGAAATGCAAAATTAAAAATACTGTGAACCCAGACTTCACCCTTCCTGCTGGTCACCAAGGGACAGTCTAATCAACAACTATTGAGGCTCAAAAGTTCCTGGAATTAGGAAAATTATAAATATAGGGAGTAGGCATGAATTTGGTTACTATTTTACATAAACAAACATTATGTATTATTTAAATTAGTATTCTTTAAACGAATTCCACGTAGCTATACACGGACAAAGGAAGTTGTAGGTAATTTAAGGGGTCATGGCTGTTTAAAAAATACTGACCCGACCCTGAGCTCTGCACACCCAGGGTGGGCAGGGAGAGGTTTCCGGGCCGGGTGAGGAGGGTGAGGCTCGCACTCACCTCCAGGTCCTCCCGCAGGCTGCGGTACTGCTCCCGCACCGAGAAGCCCCTGCGCTCCGCCAGCTCCACGCGCGGCTCCGCCGGGAAGCGGGCGCGGAATTCCCGCAGCACCGCGCCCTCGAAGTCGGCCAGGACTCCGTCCATGTCCACCAGCACCCGCAGCGGCCCGGCCGCGCTGCCCATCCCGATCCCGGTTCCCGGCACACGCGGGCGATGCGGGCGGCAGCGCCCCCGGCTCCGGCACACGTGGGAGGGACATGAATATGCATGATGCGACATGAATATGCATGAGGTGGGCGGGGCTCCTCGGGGCAGCCCCGCGTGGGAACAGCGGTGGGATCCGCCGGGAACCGAGGAAAAGCGAATAGCACCCCCCAAAACCCTTCGGGATCCCGCAGTGGGCACATTCGCAGCACGAGGGGGAGAAGGGCGGTGGGACAGCAGCAGCATGGCTTGGCCAAAGCCTCAGCAACCATAAAGGAGCACTAATTAAGTTCCACTGGGTTTGGGGATTGCCAAGGAAATATAATTCGATTACTTCCCATGCTCTACCTGCAGCCGGTCCTGCAGCCCAGGGGACACGAGGGATAAGAATCCTCTCCCCCCCATGCAGGAGAGGAGCACGTCAGAGTAAATCCAGTTTTGTAGGTTAAGCACCTCAGGCTAGGGCTTCTCCAGCACTGATCTGGAAAGCCTGGGTGCTTTCAGGCACCGGTTCTTCCAGAAGGAGGGTGGAAAAGGTGCCAGCAGACACACCAGCTCCATACAAATCCTCTGCTGTGGCTTATCCTGCAGCAGGTCCCTCCAGGACAGCAGAGAACTCCACAGTTTGGACTCACAGCCACTTCCCTTTTTAGGATCCTGTTTTGGTTTGGGTTTTTTTTTTTTTGTTGTGAGGAAAATAAACTTTCCTCTGTTTTCTTGAGATAAAAAAGTATCTTGGATAAACCAGATTACAGATACCAAGCCATATTCCACATTTCTCTGCTCTAGAAGACAAAAATTAAGAGATAAGTCAGACAATCTCTTCAGGGGAAGATGGCACATGATGGTGATGTTAACCAAGTGCAATAACTCTCCTCCTCTGCTGCATCCCACCTGTGCTGGAGTAGGGCATGTTGGCTGAGACAAGGACTGAGAATAAAGGCAAAACCAAAACCATGAAATAAAACCCACACAGGAAACACGGCTTCAAAATTTCTATATTATTTACTTTTAAGCAACAATCCAGCTCCGTGAAATTACAACACACACTTTTAAAGGATGAGATTTTCACCTCATGGTCAAGCACCAGCATGATCATGCACAGCATTGAGTCAGTTGTAAAAAAAAAATGCCCTGTAATTCTTATTTATATGATCCACTCCACCTTTACTGAATAAAGTCTGAATCAGCCCCTTCCCAGCACTAGGCCAGGTGGCTCTGGTCATCAACCCTCTATTTGGCACAGACCCTGCATCGTAGTAGTCCAGTGTCAAGATTTACTTTGTTTTTAAAGGCAGCATGGTGTACATTAACCACTCAATGATTTATATGGCACAGCAGGGCTCAAGGCATTTACCACATGCAGTCAATGAAGCCTTTTAGATCCCTAAATCCCACATGTGAAGGGAAGGGACCACTCTTGCTGATTGTTTGCTGGCCTGGGTAACCAGGATTCTAGACCCTTGTAAAGCTAAGGGGTTCTAAAAAAAAAAAAAACCTCAGTACAAAAACCCTCTAAGCACACTTAGAACCAAGCTACTCTCCTTTGAATTACATTACAATACTTCATAAAGCTTTCCCTCAAGTCTATCACTAGAAAACACTCATGTCACTTCCAGTAGATCTGGGGGAAACACAGGACAGAAGTGGAAAAAACCCTTGACTTCAAAAAAAGATGGAGTACATAAAGTGCTTCTTTTTAATGAAAGAAATTTGAGATGTACAGTCAGGCTCAAGTTGTGCAGTTCACAAGCATGGGGGAAAGAAAACAGACACGAGTTCAAAACAGTCAGGAAGGGAAAGGTTTAACCGAGGACTAGGCTGGACTTGCCACCGGGTGGATTTCTCCTGGACGGTGCTGGTGCTACTGGGCTAGGAACAGGTGCAGCAGGCAGGGATTTTTCTTCACTCTGACCTGGGGCAGCTTCTACATCAGCCTCAATGTTTTCTAGAAGAAAAGAAGCTTTTAAGGTGTTTGATGTGGATGAGGAGAGCCAGATGTTTCGCTGGCTCCTGTCAGTTCTCTCCCGGTGCACAGACACACTCGGGTGCTGCTGCAACCCGAGGGCAGGGCAGACTCAGCCCTCAGAAGTGTTTCTCAGATGGACTCTGCCTTCCAGCTCGGTTTCGGGTGTTCATCAAGAGCCACATTCATTCAGCTGCTATTAGGGGACACCAGCAATTCATTTTTCTTAATGACGAGCAGCTCAAGGCTTAAGACTTGTACATACAATTAGTCAGCGTGTGACTCTGGCCACAGTAACTCAAGTCTGAGCAGGTGCTGGAAGCCGAGTCACAGAAGCACCAGCAAGAGCTCAAACTACATTCCCAATTTCGTAACTGGAGGGAAGAGGATCTGACACACTTCTGAGGCTTCACACAGAACAGAGCAGGGAACAGCCATGCATGGGGAGGCTCTGATTGTACACTCCCTGGGAAGCACATGATAGTTTATTTTAAGTCCTTCTGAACAGCCACAAGTGAAGACAGGACACAGAAGGAATTCTTCACAGGAAGCACTTTAGATACTGTAGCAAATAACTAATGTATCTGCTTCGCTGACACTGAGTACAGCAAGTACATTAGCATCTCACATTTTTATGGACTAACACAATCACTTCTGAGCCAAAGGCCCAAATCAGCACCAAGTAATCCCCTGGGTACTGGGGGAGTGAGGGGAGCAAAGCTTCACCATCAGCTCTGTCAAGATACACCTCACCTGTTTTCAACAGACCCCTTAGTTTAATCTAATGAACACTAGTTCTGGGTTTGGAGGATTCAGACAACAGCTGCACATTCACCCTAAGCTTCACATTTGGTAAATCTTGATTAAATTCCCTCCCCCAGCCTCCTCCTCAAACTGCAGAGACACAACTATTTCAGTTTCACCTCCCAGGGCAGCCACTGCACCCCTTTACCTTCCTTCTTCACCTCCACAACCTTCTGCTCTTTACGTGTCAAGGACTGCACACCCGATTCAAGATGTGGGTGTACCATTGTTTACAGACAAAATGATGTAATTTTCCATTTTCTCCCTGATGACATCCAGCATTTTGCTAGCACTTCCACACATCTCAGAGAACACTCAGTGCCAAGACTCAAGGCAGATCCTGGGAGCATCACAGCACAGAGCTGAACACAAGGCTGCCATGGTTTAGGTGTTGGATTTTTTCACCCCCTGGATTCATTACTTTACACTTACTTACATAAGGATTATCCTGCCACCTTTTTACCTGCCTACCTCATTCAGTTGAGTCCTTCTGACAGTGAGATTTTCTCGCCATCAGCACAATTTGACTACTTGAAAGAGCTCATATCACCAACAAAATTGGAGACTTCACTGTTCATTACCTTTTCCAGGTCACGGATGAAGGCCCTGAATAAAACTACCTCCACATCACTTCCCATGGCTCGTTTTTCCAATTTGAAAGTCAATTACTAAGCCCTACCCTTTGCCTCCTATCTTTTAGCTACTTTCCCACCCCCAGGAACAGCTTTCCTCCAATTCTGTGGCAACTCAGCTTATCTCTTTTAAATAATATTTGATGCAGGATTTATCAGAAACACCAAAATCCCACTTCTGTCCACTGAACCCCCTGTATCCACGCTTATAATAATCTCAAAGAACTCCAGCAGCTTAGCATAGTCCCCACACAATCAGGAATAATCTACACTACAGACTCTCTGCTGTGCTCATTAACACACCAGCACAGCTGAACTAAACACTTAATACCACATTTTAAGCTTGAAGCTCCTGTAGCTGCCGTGTCTCAGTGCCTGCTGACTCAGCACAAGCATCCATGGAGATCATCTGCCCCTAATGCCAGACTCCACCTTCCCCTGTGTGTGTCATGCACTGTCTAGTTCTCCTTAGCTGTTCACATTCATTCAGCTCACAGTGCCACTGAATCACAAAAGAAACATGAATTAAGACCACAGGAGACTTTTGGGGAAGTCTGTGTAGCTCATTCAGCCAGCTGATCACACATCAGCACTTCTCACACAATCAAGGTACAGATATATTTGCCAACCTAATGACTAAAGTAAATGCAATAGGATCAGCTCAAATGTTGAAGATCTTCCCATCCCAAAAAGGGTCTAATCCCTGGAACAGCTCCCTGCTGAGTGCACTGCAAACCCCCGAAACTCTGCACAGAAAGGAACTACAGCTCCCAAACAGGAAGCAAGAAAACTGCTGCAAAAGGAACATTTTCTTCCCCTAGACAGGTGAGATTAATAAATATGCACACCCCACCTGACACCTACTTGGGGTTTTATAATCAGTTACATGCAGAAAATGATTTCCACATTCAAAAGAATAAACATTTTTACATGATGGGAAGCTATTAAGATTCTGGTTGTGCTGTGAACTTGTAAGCAGACAGCTTTTGCTTGAAGGTGGATTCATTCGACTCTTTTCAAACCCTGCAGACAGCTCTGCAAATCCAGTGCAAAGTCACAGGTGTTCCAGGTGGGATGTTCACCAGCCCAGCAGGAATATCAAGGGGAGGAGTGGCACACCTCAACGAGACTGGGCTCCATTAAGCTACAATACCCAAAGTTATCAATGGTAGAAATTAATTTAACAATCCATCAGGATGCTCAGGGATCTGCCACAGACACCATTTCCAGGAAGCATTAAATTCCTACTCTTTCCTAAGTACCATCAGTGAAAGTTTATCATTCAAACCTTTGCCTGTCATTTTAATTTCATCTTGGCCATCTCCAAAAGTTTAATTTTTTCTCGTGGTCACAACAGGAAACAACCCCAATTACTTTCCAGTAATGCTTTTTTTTAACCACCTCCCAGCATACATTTATTTGGTCCTTGATAAGAACTTCCCTCGCTGTCACTCACCAGAAACAAACCTAAATACAAATACAACACCTGCGAAAAATGTGAACTTTTAAATTTAAGAGTCAGGAATATCACTTTGCACTCCAAGTTTCAGCTGTCCTGATCCCAGCCAGCTCTGTTTCTGTCTCCTCCCATCCCAGCCCTTCTCACCTCACTGCTGTTTGTGGGATCTCTTCTGCCCTGTGGGGAGCTGGTTTAAACAAGCACCATGAAAAGCAGCAGAGCCCTTAGAGCAGTTTACTTCTATTAGCAAACCACATCCTCCTACTCGAGGCATAAACTCCAGATGCCTGCAGTGCTAATTAAGATCAGCCAGACATGGGAAAGAAATCCTAAATCCTGTACACAGTTTGATTAGAAGCTGCCTGCTAAAGAGGCAACACTTATTTTGGGCACAGATACCATTTAAGAGGTAGTTGAAACGTTCTGGAAAAGCTCTCCCCATCCCAGCAGGTCTTTTCAGGACAGGGAGCTGTTAATGGCCTCAGTGATCTCCCACCACTCTTAGGTGTTGAAAGTAGCACTTGGAAAGCCACGGTCAACACACACATTCCTGTCATCAGGAAGGAAGCT